TTTTTTTTTTTTTTTTTTTTTTTTTTTTTTTGGAGGGTGGGGAAAGTAGGGTGTAGAAGAAGAAGTTAGGCACCGAAGTCGCCTACCGATAAATTATTCAAAGATACATTTTTTTAATTTTGACCAGGCGTAGATGTGATTAGAAAGTTGGTGCGTGCGGCACGTTTCTCCTTCGCACGTGTGAACTACTTTTCCATTTCTTGAGTTCCACGTTTCCACTCTTTTCAATTGCCACGTTCGAATTCCACCCACCGTATACCTCTTTGTTAATTATTATTATTATTATGTATTTTTTTATTTGTACTTTTACGACACTTATGTTCCAATCGTTAGAATGTTTAAGTTTGCGATGAAATATAATATCCGAAGAATATATCTTAGATATTATATTTTAATATATTTTTTATTTATGATTTAATTTATAGTATATTTTATTTTATTTTCAATATTTAATTAGTTTATATTGTATTAATTGGTAGCTTGTATCCTATTCAACGATTATAAATATATATAGACCTTCGATTTTAATTCTTTTTTTTTTTAAATGATTTTCTTGCAAACTTCTTTTTAATGCATGATTTTCATTTTATACTATAAATTTTTTTTATTAAAAATAAATAAATAATATAATATAATAATTTATAAAAATCAAAATTTGTTGTTAGAGATTGTAATATATATGTGATAATATTTATAAATTCTGATAATTTATTATATTAATTTTAGTTTCGCAAAATTTGAATTTATTAACCAAAATAAAGTATAATAAATTGAATACAAAGTTATAAAAATGTGATTGTAAAAAAAAGAAATTATAAATTAAAAAAATTGATTTATATATATATTATTAAGTTACAAAACAAATGAAGGAATAATTTTAATTTCCTAATATAATTACTATTAAAAATGGTAACACCATAATAAGTTTAATAATATTTTATAAAAAAAATATTTAATTTCTATAAACTCAAATTTTAATATGACAAGATTTTAGTAATATTTTATAAATTAAAAATAAAGTTAGTTTGACGAGAATTGGGTGGAGAGGGAAGTATTTCCGTCCCAACCCTGTTTAGCTAATAAGGAGAATCTGACCGATTATATAGTATTTTTACCAATTTATTAGGTTCAAAATAAATAATGTATATTCCTTTTAAAAGAAATAAATAATATTGTAATAGTAAAATAATATATTTTTAAATATTTAATATCGACCTTAAACTATTAACAATGTGTGTAAATGTGCTAATTTTACAATTATTTTATTTGTCAAATATATAAGACGTTAGACGATGTCGTTTGGGCTCAACTCGTAAATGTATATATACGCTACCGCCTCGTCAGCGTGACAGAACAGTGGCGACTGATTTTCGCGGCAACAGGAAATACAGTTGCGATACCGCAGCCGATACTCTGCAATGCACGAGGGCGATCGTCGAGTTTGCCAAACCTTACTCGTTCTTGATCAATACTTCTGTCGTTAATTCTTCAAGGTTTGTTGATTTAATTCTTCATTCGCGCAAGTTTTGAATTCTGCTTATTTGATTTTGATTTTGATTTTCACTCGTGGATGTTCTTTTGTGATATCCATTACGCTACTGCTTCCATTCGCTCTTCCGGGATAGACTACGGGAAGCTGTTGATAAGGAATGGATGGAGTGGTTGCGCAGGGAACCTGCGCAAAATCTGCACCTAATTCCTTATGGAGTTGTCTAGGTGCGTCTTTAATTGAAGAAGATTGTTTGACTTGGATTTTATTTCCATTAGCTCGTTTTTGGACTTTATAACTTTGTTTAGAAGCTATATTTGTCGAACTCACTTGTAAGCCATTTATCCACGACAAAAGTTCGCAGGAAGTATTTGACTGATTTGATAATTACGCTCTCTCGTTGATGCATTATAAGTATTTTTGGATATTGTTATATGACGTAATCCTCTAGATACATGTCAATTTTTACGTAATTGTTTGATTATCTGGATCTAAGCATAACATATATCAAATATTGATTTGTTCTTGTGGAGTATTTGAGAAATATTCATGGAAATGAGATCGATCGTTAGTTGTAATATTATATTGTTTTTAAATTAGGTATTCTCTAAGATATTACGCTGTTGGACAGCTAATTCTTCGGAAGAATGCTGAGACTGTACATTGACAGATTGCTTTGAAGAAATTCAGTTTCAATTTCTGGGAAAATCAATATGTAAGGGATTGGATTTTATTATTACTATTACTACTATTATTATTATTATATAACAGATGCCATAAAGATTTCTGTCTAACCTCGTGTGTTTGCATCCTGAGCATATCAATTCAGTTATCGATTGATACATGGATTTAAAAATAAGGACGCTGATTATTTTCATCCACTAACTCCATATCTAGGCGTGGTATCCACTAACTCCATAGATTTCTTATTAAATATTGGTACAGTCTTAGGTGCACATATGATGTCTTTGACTAATTTTATTAAATAAAACTGAAAGTTATTAAATGGCAAGAACTCAGAAATGAAATATGGCTAGCGTAAAAAAATGCTGATGATTGCCATCTACGTGTCACTACGTGTCATAATGTATTTTCTAACTGCATCATTGACCCTGAAGTAGTTGCTGAGAAGAATCGGAGTTGTTGACTGTTCTCAGCATTGGCCACTAGGGAGTGTTTTGTGTGGAATATTGCTGATAGTTTAATCCATTTAAGGAATTTAAGAAATTATGTGATAGAGCTTTCTATTTTGTTTCTTGTTACGAGGGCACTTACTCTAATGTAGTGAAAACTAATTTTCTGATTTTCTGATCTGACAAAATCATTCAGGAATATTGGCCAGATTCACTAAAGAAATTTATCAGTACTTCAAGATCTGTTGCATTTGAACGTGAACAAGCAGACTTGCAGATGGTAGTACTTTTATGATATACAGATATCATACATGCCTAGTTGATGGATTTTGCTTGATTAGATAGATTTTCTGCCTATAGCAAGATAAGAAACGTAAACTTGAAAATGGCGTACTATCCATTATCCACTAAGGTTTATATATTACAAAATGGATACTTGGGAGGAAGGCATGTTTTTTAGAAGATCTAAAAACTTCCCTAACTTGTGCAGCTTGGGATAAAGAACCCGTTCCTTTTCTGGAACCTCGTCTGCAGCATTCAAACCTCCTTGATCTAGCCAAGCTAAAAATTTCATCTTTTTGGGCACTTATTTCCTCCAAAGAACATTTAAAAATTTCTTCGGGTTCAAGGGAGAGCCACCACCATGTTATAGAAAGAGAAGTGAGCTTTAGGTGTAAAGAGGCCATCAGAATTCCAGCTCCGGCATAGCATATTTCTTTCATTAACGAACAGAACACTTTCAAGAAGATGAGAGACTCTAGTTAGAAAGTTCTTTTTCATTGTGCTGTCTTGTATACCTGAGATTCCAGCCACTATCAACTAAATTCCTGCATTCCTGAAACAATAAAGTCTCAGATTCATTAAGATGAAAAAATGTCATAAATTTCTGATATCGGTCTCCTCCAAGGATACAACAGAAATATCTCTTGAACAAGGTATTTTAGAATGTGTCCACGACCTTATCTTACTAAATATTTCTATAGATTTCCCCTCCCCTTTTCTTTTTTGTTAAACTGGGAAGTTTCTTCTTCTTCACCCCTCAACTTTTAGTATCTGGTCCCATTTGTATTCTTTTGTTGCGATTAGAATTATTTGTCACTAAGGAAAAGGGTGATAGGGTATTGACATTTAATCACCCTTTCTTACATGTGTGAAAAAAGTGATGTTTCAGGTTTATTTTATCCATTTCTTAGTTACACATTTGTGACTATTCTTGCATGTTCTACCTGGTTGGTGCATGGCTTCGCTTAACACTGTTCTTTCTCAAGGAATGAATCAAAAGAAAAAGCATGTAGTTATTGAATGATACTTTATGCTTGTATCAAGAACTTCTGTTTGTTCTCCCACGATGGACATCAGTTTCTATCATATTGTTGTTGCATCTTTCTCCTTTCAGGACAGGATTTAACAAAGGTACTATCTTCCACAATCTAAACCAGAAGTTCTGTAGACTGCAAGGAAGTAAAAGCAGTCATTAGTACTGGTACTATGACCTTTTTGTTTTTATTTTTATTTTTATCTCATTAGGCTTTTTCATATAACTTAGTTTAATTGTAATTTGCCTTTAGCTTCAAGCATATTTTGAAATAGCACTTAATCTGTAGATCTGTTATGCCTTTTCTTTTAAAGTGTTCCTTTCTTCTTCTTCTTCTTCTTCTTCTTTTTTTTTTTTTTTTTTTTTTT